AATATTTTTTTATTAAAAATTTATTAAAATAACACATTATTAAGGTATTTGTGCTTTTTTTAATACAATTGATAAATATTTTTCTTATATATTAAAGATTGGTTAAACAAAAATATATTTTAATATTACGTCATTCTAATAAAAGATAATATCAAAGAAATAAATCAATTTTATTCCTATTCTAAAAAAAATATTAAAGTGTCTTTTGCTTAATTTTTTCAGAAATACAATTAATAAACATTTTTCTCTTATATTGGAGATTAAGGTTTATCTATCAAATTAGGCAAAAAAAAAACTTTAATATTATATTATTTTAATAAAAAATATAAAAAAAAATATAAAATAACTTTATTTTTATTTTATAAATATATTATTTCAGTCTTCCTCAATAGAATATTGTTCCCTTACACCTGCATCTGCCGGTAAATGCACAAATAAGGAATGGCAGCCGGGGCGTCAAACCAAACTCTAATGCTAATCAGCAAGGAAGGACAGGTCACAGGCCCTTTCCCACTACGCTCCAACCACCCTTGACCCTTCCATCTATATTCCATATGGCTTTTGTCCTGATGCTCAGGATTGCATTAACTTTATGGGACCGACTTATTATGTATTTTATTTTACTTTACAAAACTGCCCTTCACCATCACCATTAATGCAAGGCAAAAGCATATGTTAAGCCCTTAAACAAACCTCAGAATCATTATTAAATTTTTAGACTTTAATTGATGCAGTTAAGTCCTTAAATTCTAGGATCAAAGCAATTAAACCCTTCTTCTTACGTCAACTTAACTGCCATTGAGGATACACCTCGCATGGCTGCTTGGATGGCAAAATATTTCTATGTTATGCTTACATGGCAAGGGATTTAACATTTGACCTTGCCAAATTTTTGATTTGATTTTATTTATATTTTATTTAAATAAAAAAAATTAAATTATCAAATAAATCAAAATTCCAAGTCAAATGTTAAATCCCTTACCATGTAAGCATGACATGACAATATTTTGCCATCCAAGCAACCAAGTGGTGTGTGTGCTCAATGGCAGTTAAGTCAAGCAAGCAATCCCAAACGGCAATTAAGTTGACGTAAAAAGAAGGGCTTAATTGCTTTGATCCCAGAGTTCAAGGGCTTAATTGCATCACTTAAAGTTTAGAGGCTTAATAGCGATTTTGGAGTTAGCTTAGAGGCTTAACTTATGGTTTTGCCTTAATGCGATGATGCAGTCCTGCAATTTTTTTTATAAGGGTTTTTTTTTCAAATACTTTGATAATAGATTATCTAAAAAAAATAAAAAAATCAATTTTATCGTAAATCCTCTCTCACTAGATTCAAAATTTAAATCTACACTTTTAAATTTTAACCTTTTAACTTTTAACCAATTAAACTACATTATTAAAGTAAGTATAAGGGGGTTTTGAAG